CTGCAAGCCTCTGACCATATGAGTGGCCCTCCTCTGAACCCTCTTAAGATTCTCTGCATCCCTCTTGAAGTGCAGCATCCAAAACTGGACACAGTACTCCAACTGCGGCCTGACCAGTGCCGCATAGAGGGGAAGCATCACCTCCCTGGACCTGTTCACCATGTACCTGCTAATGCATGATAAAGTGCTGTTAGCCTTCTTGATCACTTCGTCACATTGACGACTCATGTTTGTCTTGGAGTCAGCTATGAGCACATCTACCTCGACTCCTGCATCTAAGCATTTTGTGACCTGGTCATAAAAAAAACAAGGTTAGTCAGGCAGGATCTACCTGCAGTGAACCTGTGCTGATTTCCTTTCAGCATTATTTCCCCTGCTAGGCTCCCACAAATGTGATCCTTAATGATTTTTTCTAAATTGAATTGACAGGTAGATTCATAATGGCTACACTTTATCTAAAAACAATCTCCCAGAGTACTGTGCAGGCTGGTTCTGAGATAGACATGTCAATAACGGTTATAGGTTCTTGCCCTTGCGGCTCCTTGGTGATCGTATTCCTGTGATGTGATGTCACTGGTTTATTGTTTGTTACTGATTAATGAATAAGGGATAATGCCTTCTATTTTAGAAATGTCTGTCCTTCCTGAGGTACCTGGGAGTTAGGGTGTATTAAGATCTGTCTGGTGGGAGACTCACTGGAAGGTTTGATTCCCCATTACTCTCATCCTGCTTAGTCTACCAGGGCTACATTGGCAGTGGTGCTTTGCTTGTCCCCTTAGACTCAGCCCCTGTCTACGTTGGAGACCAACCCCAGCTTTTGCCTTGCCCTAAATGTATTTCTGCTAGTATAAATCCCTTGTATAACCATGGTAAAGATCTAACAGCCACAGTTTACGCTTGCAATTTATCCTGCATTCAAACGGGTAGTTTCCAAAGTGCAAATGCTAGATGATAGGCTTGTGTGGGTTTCTTCATTCAACTGCAATGAGTGCTGGCAACTGGCGGCAATCCATGGTGCAGACTTTCTTAGATGACAACATTCTCTGACTTTCAAAGGATTAAGGTTTGATATTGATGACTTGCTGAGGGAACTGGGGTTTTTCTTCTTTTTTTTCCTTCAAAGGATTTTGGCTACACTATATGAGATGTACCTTTAGTATGGGAAGATGAAATAGGGTCAGACATGAAGTTATAGGCTCCAAGACTAGCAGGAATATCAAAGCTGGAAGTGTTGTAGATGCCTTGGTTCTCTTACTTTCCTTTCTGTACTTTCTCAAAGCCTTCAGATAAGATTTTTTTCAAGTAAATTTGCAAGACAGTGTTTGCAGTGTCAATTCTTCATCCTCAGGACTTTTCTTAGCTTTTCTTATTCCACATACAGTATTTTACTCCTTTTAATCCCATATGAACTCTGAGCATTAGCTTTCATATTTATTTAATTATTACAAAGAAACTCTCCAATATATACTCAACTTTTGTCTTCTATTTCTGTAATTACCTTTTTGTCACAAATGAATAAACATTAAATATGTTAGTGCAACTATTTTACAACAATTAGCTCACTGTCTTTGTTATGAGTAGCTACTTTGTATAAATGCATTTTCTTTTGTTCTTTTTAATATTTTATTGCAGAAGTATTAAATTGAAATTGCCAAGCACACAGACGTAAAGAATTACAATACTCATGAAGAAAACACCTGAGATTAATGTGGGACTCATCATTAGAATGATAGAGTAACATTTTGTATTTCACTGTAAATTTTCATGATTTCAGTATGAGTGTTTCTTTTTCTTTTGGGTAGACTGACTCAGGTGGATGCTTGACCTACTTCACATCATATTGTTGCTATTGTTTCTTTGATTATATGCAGTATATGGACTTTGATAGGTTTATTGGGCTTTTTAGAGTAGTTTTATTTTCCCTAGTTTTCAAAGAACCTGTATAATAAAAGAGAAGGGAGAGTGTTTATGATAGCTTCTTGTTCCATAATAAAAAACAATTAAATGGGAGCATGCTGTGCTTTTCTGATTATACAATAGTGGTATGTAGGGATTGGATGATTGCTTTAATAATATTTGCCTCCACTGTGTTATTCTTTTCAACAGGCTTTCAGATATTCAAATGGATCAATATGGATGTGCTCAGATCAAGAAAGGAGGCATACTTATGGCAACTAATTGTTCTGCACACCTCTACTGGGTCTGTAAAAAACCAGCAGGTATTGAGCTGTAGAATGAGTAGTTCAGTCCAGGTGGCCTTATGCCCATGACATCTGGGTGTATGATGATAAAAAAAAAAATATTTTGCCAACAGAATGTACCTCCAGATTTTGCAGATGGACAATGCTGCACGTTGAAACTTAAGTGGTATAAATCAGTTTAGCTCATTAATTTCAAAGGATCTCTGCTGATGTATAGCAGCTAATGATCTTGCCCCTTATCTCCACATTGTAATTTTAAAGTAGAAATTAGTATGCAAGCAGGGTTTAGAAAAGCATACGAACACACTATTTTTAACATAATGAATGCGTTTTGAAAGGTGATCTTGCAGTTTCTTCTATGGACCAACTCTGAGGAGTAAAATTGTGAGGTACTGTTATGCCGTGGTATCTTGTGATTATATCACGTGGTGGTTTGAGCATGATTTTAGAAATGGTAATTTTTTAATAAAACGTAGCTAGTGTGTAGAGTTCCTTTTGTGACCACAGAAATTACTAGTTTGATTGTATAAAAGTACTTATCCTACTAGAGATGTTCATTAAAATAGTATATATTTCACTTTAAATGAAACCTAGGTTTGCCCTGCTGTTCAAGCTTTCCAGTTTCATGTCCTGAAACAAAACTCTAAAGTAATTCTGTACAGCATGGAGCACATTAGAAATTGGTGCAGTAACCAATGAAAATCTAATGATGAAAACAGTTTTTAGCTTGTGCTCCTCCTGCTCATTAGTTTCTAGGACCCTGATGAAGGAAGCACTTAAACATTAGGTTAAGGTCATTACGAATCAGAACAACACTTAGTGTACTTGAGTCCAGTAGATACTTAAGTGTTGTCCTGAAAAGGGGATCCGTTTGCGAGATGGAGCGTAGTTATTCTAGGTGAATAAGTACTGTTTCTAGTTTAATTTCACTAGTTAAAGGAGCTGTTGACCAAGGTAATGTGTTCTCCATTATTCAGGCTCTATGTACTTGCCAGCCTTCTTACAAAAAGTTTCTTTTTCCTTGCAGATGTTGATATTTTTTTGGAGTATCCTGGGCATCTTTTGCTTTCTCTTGCTGAGTTGGCTCAGTACAAGACCCTAACAGAAGCCAAGTTCTACTGTGCAATGACAGCGACGTGTACTGGAATAAACAGTTGGCCATCCAAGTTTTCCCTCGTCTCAGGAACTGAAATGGTGACTGCAACCATTAGAAATACAGTTTACTTGAAAACAAGTAAGAATCCCTTTTTCTGATAATTATTTTTTGATTACACGTATATCATTTTAAATGAATTGCATTTTGTTTTCTTTTTTATAGTGTGAGCAGAAAGTCACTATAATATACTTCTGTTTCTGTCACTAGTAGGAGTCTACTACCATAGAGCTGAGCTTGGGAAGTTGAAGTGGGTGCTGGGATTCTCATTTGTGATGTTGGGCATCTTGGTTAGTTTTCCTCTTTGAATAAATGTAGATGATACTTGCCCACTTTGTAAACTGCTTTGGAATCTGTCACGGGGCAAGATCCCTAGGGTGGCCATGATACCCCTAGTGGCTCTGCAACTGACCCAAGGGCACCCTCTTGTCTTACCTGCCACATCTTGATGATAAAACAATAAAATCAGGAGGCTGCCCATGGGTCTTTGCATGGCCTTGGTCTGCCGTACCTCACAAACACTCACTGGTCCTTGGGCCCTTCACTGGACCTCACTCCTGTACTGTGCCACACAGGAAACCTTAAACCTTATGGGCTAAGTACGTGGCTCCAGACCTCTCCTATACCCGTCCCCGTGCCTCACAGTTACAAGGATGTTGTTATCTCTGTTGGGGCCCCGGCCTACTTGGCCTCTGCCCATTTAATATGGCTAGACCTTCTAGCCAAGGCCCACCATGTTGGATCTGGCTCTGAGGCACAAGTGCCAATTGGTTTCTTCCAGTCACCTGGCCCCTGCCTGTTGGGCCCCTGGACCTTGCCTGACTGCATGCCTCTGGCGCTGGGCCTTTGTCTTGTGTAGCTGCGCCCCTCTGGTGCCAGGCCCTCCAGCCCTTGTCTGGTTGTGCCCCTCTGGGTACTAATGAGGCCTCTGTACCTCCCCTTACAGCCTCATCCCAAACTTCGAGTACAAACAGTAATACAAACATAAGTCCCTGGGCTATAACGTAAAAATAATAATGAAACTGCACTCTGCCCCTTTAAGAAGGCAAACTTCCACCCCTGAGACAGTATGTCCTCTAGCCCTGGGCATCTTGTGGGCTCCTGGGGCATTTTTACATATGCATGCATCGGAGCACTGGGTGTTTTGAAAAGCGCCCAGGGCTGCAACACATGCAATTGTGTAAGTGGCGAAATGCACATCAGTGCTGAGAAAATGGCAGCGGTGCGCTTTTGAATGAAAACACTTTGGAGGTGCTTTAGTTGAAAAGCTCACCACTGCCATTTTCTCAGCACTGACGTGCATTTTGCTGCTTATGCAACTGCATGCGGCGCAGCACAGTTTATGTTAGCTTGTGTGCGCAGCAGACTCGATTAATTAAATCTGCTCCGAAGTGGCCAATCTCTGGTGGATCGCTGGAAAAAAAGTATGTATATAAATGCCCCTGGAGCCTTACTGCTCTTGTAGGCATCGAAGTAGGCAACCAAACGCCTGTGGGTAGCTCTCTTGGGCAGGGGCTCCTTCCCCTGGCAGTCTCCAGAAACAGTAGACTCTGCCAACCCCAGCCCTGAACTTTTATGGTCCCAGGGCTCTGCCTCCTTCCTGTCAGCTGATTGTGTGCAGGTGCTGGCTAATTACCTCATTAGCCTGTTGCTCTGGCAATCTGCAGCTGTGGAGCTCTGTCTAGCCTGTTGGGCTCCCTGGCTAGGTTGCTTCTGCCCTTAAAGGAGCAGGCACATCTTAGTGGCCTGCAACAACCCATGAATGGAACGCAAAAGCTGCAGCAAATCTCGCCTCAGTCCCACCGTTCCAGAGCTCCTGTGGCAACAAAAGCAGTTTGGTTCTATGTTTACAAGTAGGGAAGAGAGAGTTTAATTTGAAGTCAAATTGCAGGCAGGGCACCTTAGTGACTGACTGGTTCAGAGAGGCATGAGCTTTTGTAGGCAACAACCTACCTCATTAGATGCCAGGAATGAACATTCAAGGAAGCCTTGTTGGAAAGCTTATTGTTCTGCTTCATGGCGTATAGCTATGTGGTACTGGGCAGGAGTAGACTGCAGCAGCTATTGGCTGATTACAGGGAAGAGCATTTGAACTTTTATTTCTTCAGTATACGGAGTACACGTCTTCAAGGAGCAGTGCTGCATCACTGAAGACATGTATTGTGGGTATGAGACTGAATCTCAGAAGGCTGAATTTTGGGGTGCTTCAACTTTTTTAAGGATTCAAAAACTCATGTTATTTTACCCAAATAAATGCTGTGGTAATTGTATATAATTTATATTCTGATTATAAATGGGAAAAATATCAAAGGGGGAAAACATGAAGTGAGAAAACATGCAAGAGCTTTTGGAGGACAGGAAAGTTTAATTAATGATGCATTATACCATAAAATTCTGTTGATCCCTTTAATACTATTATGTAGTATGCACAGTTCTGACGTCATACTAATAAAATAAATACTCCAATTTTTAGTTAACTGTAAGTCTTTTTTACTAGTCCTCTAGCAGAATGGTAGGAAACCACAGCGAAGGACTTTTTCCTAGATGTACAGGCCATGTGATGTTTTTTAAGTCGTCAAAATTATAGTAAGTAAATAGCATGCAAAATAAAGGGAAATGCTCTTTCTCAGCTGTCTGGGTTAGAGTCTTTACTCATGCCCTCCTTCCTAGGTAAATTCAGACTGTGGCAGTCCGCTTGGTGGATTAACTAGCGATGAAACAAAGACCACCTGGCAAACAAACCATGTTTATAACTTCTACCCATGGCAGCTGTATCCAATTTTAGAAAGGCTTTTCTCTCAGATTGCGATGAGGGCTTAAATCCATTTGAGTACCTTGCACCAAGGGCTAAGCCAATCACATCAACAAACGGTTATATTCTGACATATTATGGTGTCTTTAGGACTTTTGATAAGTAGCTGTAGGATATGAACATTTTAAAAAATGGATTACATCATTTGATAAAAATATTATAGTATGGATTGGAATATAGGATACAGGGCACATCTATACAAGATGCTTTACTGTGCGGTAGAGCTAACTACTGCGCAGTAAGCATCTGTGTCTACACGTGCAGATGCTTACTGCGTAGTAATTGGCTCTAATTGTGAGTAAATTTGCTACCTGCAAATACAAGTAGTAAATTTACTCAAGATTACTGCGTAGTAGTGCATATGTAGAAGCCAAATGTGCTGCTGGGCAGTACGGGGTGGGAGATTTCTCCCTGCCCCTGGGAGCTGTCTGCTGCTGGGGCGGGCTCTGCCACTGGAACCCGGACAGGGAGTATGTCCCCCAGCCCCAGCGGCAGGGAGTTCCCAGCTCCAGCTCTGTGATTGGGGTGGGCAGGGCTGGGGTGCTTATCTCTCAGCGCCAGCTCCAGGGTCACAGGGCCAGCACTGGGAGGTTCTTTGAGCTAAGAATAAATGAGCTATTTGCAGTCTGTATAAAACAGAGGGCTTGTGGAAGATCGTAATCTATACATAGACTCAAAGTTAGTGGTATAAATGAAGAAAGGGAATTATTCACAGCCTAATAAGATGGCCCAAAGGTAAGGAAGAAAAAATTTAAGGAAGAAATGTTTTTACCAGCAATTAGGCGGTACGATTAACTCCCAAGGGGGAGAGTTAAGGTGACAGCATCTTTGCAGATACTCAGAAATGGGTTAATTAAGAAGTTTGTGGCAGTAATGTAGGAGGCAGTCTCTTACAATGCAAACTTCTTTCTGATGAACCCAGTCAGTTTCTCAACATTGAATGAATTAGTCATTGAATAGATTGAAATGAAGAAAACATTTCTCATTGTACTTACCAAAGAATATATCCCTGGTTAGGCAGGTTTAGAATCTCCCAGGTACTTAGTGGCTTCACCATTTCAGTGATCTGATTTTTTTAAACATGTAATGCTTCAATAACATTGTTTTAATTTCAAATGTAAAGGACTGTGATAGAGTCTAGTAAATTCTTAATGTAGTGTTGTCATTTTTGGTGTTGCATTTTAAATGCATTTTGCTCTTTAGAAAACAATTTCTAAACAATTTGATTTAACTAAAGAAGAATTTGAACTTGTTTTTTGAAAAAAAAAACCTAAAAAAAAGTATCTACCCTGGCTACCTAAGGAACTGGGATCTCAGATCTGAGTCTCTAAAGGTTAGATTCTTGAGTCCCAGTATGGATTAATAATATAACTGGCTTTACATTCATAGGTGCTGAACATACTTGGCTAGCTTTTAATTTTAAAGAACTCAATGTCTTATTACAGAAGTATATATATAGATTTAGGTGCTTAGTTTTAGGCAACCTCATTTAGAAATTTTGACTTGAACGCTTTGGCCTGGGCTCTTTTGATCTGATTCCCCCTTCCACCACATTGATATTTTGTGGGTGACTTCTTGGCTCAGAGGGTAATGTTGATTGTAAGGATGACAAAATATTTGCTCTGAAACGTGACATTAGAAAATAGAGCTGTGTGATTAAGACAGTTTATGTCATTTGAAACCCAGATGCTGCTAGCTGTTTTTATCCAACACACACTCTTATCTGGTTCTCACTCATGGTAATAATGCCACTGTGTGCATAGGAGATTGTAAAGAAAATGGGAATTAAAATGAAAGAAGTCATTATTCAGAGTTGTAAACCTGCTGTTAATATTTGAAACGTTCTGTGTTTCGCAATCTGAAGGCTGTGTTTCTGGGCGATATGGATATGGATGTAGGGAAGCCTGCCCCAACTGCCGTAATAACCTACCTTGCAATAGCTTGACTGGGATTTGTGATGAAAACACCCGTTGTCTTGCTCCCTTCAGCACCAGGAGTTGTGTAATAAGTAAGTTCTAACAAAGGGTGCCATGAAACAGCTGCTTTTATACTGCGTTTTCTGGTTTTAATCCACATAAAAATTAGCTGGTTTGGTTTTGGGATCAGGGAAGACATTGACATGAGTCTAGAAGCTCTTGCCCAAGCTCTTTCATTTTTCACCAGTTAGTCTTTGAAACTTTGTTTATGTGTATGGGTTGGTGTTTAACAAGAGACCTAGAATATCTCCTTGCCCTGAAGCTTCTGCTTCCCAGCACTTCACAATGAGCTTGATTGCTGCCGCCTTCGTGAAAGAACCTACAGTGATTGTGTTGGATGCTACCATTTTCCTATAACATAAAGAACAAGTAGAGCAGCAGTGCAGGCTTCCCACTTTAATGTGCCAACAGCTGTGGCCTTCATGCACATTTAATTTAGTTGGTGAAGACTGTCATAAAAGTTTTCATGCCAGTGTATGAGTGAGATGGCTTCTTTTCTTGCTTCATATTTTTGCCCCTAGTTAATCTGCTTTGCTGTTACATAGAGAATAAAATTTGACCCTGGTTCCCCACTGTGAAGACAGTCCCCAGTAGGGGTAGCACTGCCATAGTCAAGTTTTATATTACCGTTCTTTACTGTTACCAGTGCAAAGGATGTGGAGGAAGTACACGGGACTCTCTATACTCCAACTTTTACCAGCTCACTTGGAAATTTTGGCTCACTGGTATAAGTTTGAGAAGCCATGAGAGCAGCACCTTAATTATATCTCTTGATTGGATTTGTGTGTATGATCATTTACTTGCATTTGCTTTTGTCCCAAAACTCAAAATGCAGTAAGTACCAGATTTCTAAACATGGAGAAGAATCACCTACGTCCAGGGAAGCTTAAATTCTTACAGGCAAAGACAGACCAAGGGAAGAGGATAAAATGTACAAGAAAGTGATGGGAATGATCTTAGATTCATAATTTATTTATGTAAGAGGGTTTTATTGTTTTGCTTTTGAAGTTCTATATGCTTAGTTTCCACCCATCCTGACAATTCACTTGTCCTATGCATCAATTTCCAGCTGCAGAACCAATATCTCTCCCTCCCTCCTTAAAGTCGAACAGCTTATGTATGAAGTAAACAAATAAAATCAGATGACTGAACAAGTACAGTGAAGTAAGAGCTGCGTTGCATAGTATAAAGTTATTGTAGGGAGAGGAAAATCCTATAAAGAAGTTATGTGAAAGAACACCTGCATTTTGCATCAGCACTTAAATTTTGCTCTGAGCAGTGCATTTTTATCAGTGCATATGCTAAAAACAGAAGCAGCTAGAGTAACATGTCCACACTGCAGCAGTGTTATTTATCATGGAGGCCTGAGAATAATAGGCAACATCATAATAGAGGTCAGGGGTATAGGATTAAGCAAACTAATAATCTTTGTTCCTTTAACACCTTTTGCTCCAAATGCACACTTAATCAGATATATAGATAGGGAACTGGTGCTGCAGACAGCAACAGTGGCCTGCTTCTCCAGTAACTTCATTGAAGCCAGTGGGATTACATCAGTGTAAAACTGACCTGGTGCACGGAATGGTAAGACCTTTGCAAACTGTACAGATGGAGCTACAGCCACTTCCGGAGGACAGCAGCTGAGCTAATATTTACACAGGAGATGCTGTTCAAAGCTAGTGTTTCAAGAGATTTTCACTAAGTAAATCAGGGCTAATGCCACATTAAAATTAGTATAGTGACTTGTCTGTGCAATCTAGAAATTGTATTTTCTGTATGTGAGAAGATTCACACTTTACTCTCTCATCCTTCAAAAAGTCTCATGACTTGATGCAGGACCCTTGTGTACCTAAGTATTTCTAGGATCACAGTCTTAACAAAGGTGCTGACATATGTCCAGCTGTCTCTCATGTGCACACTATATAGGTTTTATGGCTTACTGGTCTACCACCAATGTCTATGTGTAGTCTTCTCAGGACAGGTAAGGCAGTAACTGCAGTGGACTTTTTTTAATGCCTGTCACCTTGCACAGGTCCTGCACAAAGCCTATGAATCACCCAAATCCCACTTTTGCTGCCAAACGAAGGCATAAGTAGGTCTTTGAACAGTGAATAAGCTCTGTATCGGCCCTTTTCACAGTGAGTTTTTTCACTTAAAATGAAATGCATGCTATTTTGTGAATGCAAAGAATGTTGAGATTTTTTTAATGGTAAATGTCTGTAATTTTATTTTTGACATGACACACCAGTGCTGTCTTTATTTTTATTTTTTTTTAGGCACAGTCAGTTTAAAATGTCCAGAACTTGGTTGGCAATACTGGAAGAGGTATTGTTACTTTATCCTTCCAGCTAATTGGAAACCTTGGAAGGATGCCAATACTACCTGCAGTCGGTACAGAGGTGCTGAACTCCTTTGGTTTGAAAGTGTGGAAGAACTGGTACAGTTATTAAGATCATCCCTTTTCTCCTGTTAATGAGCTGGTTGGCCTAGGGTTGGAGTACTTCAGAATACTGGCACTGTAAAGGTGTAATAGTAGAGGCTGTTCTTTTCACACTTACATGGAACAGTAAACATCACAAAGGTTGTACATGTGAAGAATATGATTCACTAGGCATCCAGGGAATTTGTTTGACCTTGTTGGGGATTTTCTGGCATGGAAAGCCAGCATATTTGGACTCTTAGATAACACCATTTTTCCCTTCTCTTAGTTTCTTTTCTTTTCTTATTTGGATAAAAATAATCAACCCACAGATGCCTTTTATTTCCATGTTCCTTTTTATTTCTGAAAACTTGTTTGCAGACTTGGATAACAGCAGTTGTGTTTGGAGAAACATGGACAGGATTGCAAGATATAAATCAAGATGGTATCTGGTCATGGGCACATGAAGATAGTGCATCTAGTGTTTTGCCATGGTTTGTATATGAAATAATTAGGAGTTGTTTTGATGTTTAGTTTAATGTGTTTGTGCTACAAAAGCACAGTAAAACAGAAGTCTTATCTGTTTTACTATGCAGATGCAAAAGAAATCTCAGTTTTATTACAGCCTTAGACATATTGTTAACATGAATATTTCAGTAAAATCTTATGAAGTCCATTGCACTCTGTACAGGAAAATATTTAGGCATTGTTTCATAGAACACTGAATATATATATATATATATTTATGAACAGTATGTATATATTAATAACATATTTACAATCACATTAGGAGGCCCAATTTAGACCTCTCTTGATTCATGCAAAAATAAGGCATGTGATTGAAAAAAGGCATTACAGTTCGGTGAGTGTAGTCTTCATCATCCTGTTCATAAATTTGTGAACTTCTTCTGACAGCTAGTTAGGTTGTCTACTTCAACTACTCCTATTAACAGGATATTCCAGAACTCTACTTCTCTAATGGAAAGAAGCCTTCTTCTGATTTCCAGCCTAACTTTTGTGTTCAGATTTGGTCTATTTTTTTTGTGCCCACATTTTCCTAAATAGCTTTTCTTCCATCTTCATGGAAAAACAATCCTGTCTCCCCTCAGCTTTCATTTTTTTCACACACGAAACAAACCAGCCTTTTAGACTGCTCCTGTCATATAGGCTCTCCATTCTCTCAATATGTATTAGTAACCATTCTCTTCACCTGTTTGTTTGAATTCCTCTTGTGCATAGTCATCCAACATATTGTACACAATATTTCTGTATAATACTTTAAACTAGGGGTCACAGCAGCGGTCTGTATTGCGCTGTGTTGTGCTCAGGCCAGGCGGCGGTGCTGGGGGGGGGCCATGGCGAATTTTTGGGGGCCAGCAGCCCCCCATGTAGCCCCGCTCCCAGCGCTGTCTGGCACACCTCAGCCTCAGCTTGCAGCCAGCCGGGCTGGCATGCAGATCCAGGGGCACACAACCCTTGTTCCGGCCAGCGTGCAGATCCCGGGGCACACAACCCTCCCTCCTGGGGTGTATGTTCGCCCCCTGGGCAAGCCGCTCGCAGCTCCGCTGCCCTGGGTGTACAGGGCCTGCCCTTGCTCCAGCCCTACTCCCTTCCTCCCTGCCTTTGGGTGGGGGGGTGCAGATTGAGGCCCCAGCAGTGAGGGAGGAAGTGGGGCTAGGGCTGGGGCCTCAATCTGCTCTGGTTCCCCCCTCCAGCCTTCTCCCCTTCCCCACCCCTTCCCCCACAGACTTACCTGCTGGGGAGGCATGCTCCCAAATATGGTTTTTCTCCCTCTGCCTAGATCTGCCCCCACTTCCCTCCTCACAGACTTACCTGCTGTGGGGGTGGAGGGTGGTGCGCAGTAGATCTTAGGTTACTTTTAAATGCCAAAGTTGATCTCCTACTTAAAAAGGTTGGAGACCACTGCTTTAAACAATATAAAATCATTGTAGTGGTATAATTCCAAACTTAAACTCATTCAAGGCAGGCAGTGGTCCAGCTGCATGCCTAGCCCTGATTGTACCAGTCAATAAGTCTTTGTCCTTTCTTTTGAAGCTTTTGTAATATCTGACATTTTAAAACACTTTTATCATTAAAAATCCATTTGTCAGAATGGTGAGTGGATACTGTTCTCTATAACAATATGGAAGGAGGGTTTTTTTTGGAATCTTATTTGTCTTATATTCTAGGAACACCACAGACTGTTGATGAAGAAATTCTCCCCCTTCCTCACTGCTGTTTTTTTTGTTAATCCCTGGTGGGCAGTCAGAGACAGTTTTCATATTAGATTGTAGGAATTTTTATTCCTTTGCAGTGGATTATTTTTTCCATGTCTCTTCCAACTCATGTTCATTGTTCTTGCTGTCCTTCCCTCAGTCCATCCCAGTTTACTGACATCTTAGGTGAGTTAGATACAGTCCAAAAAGAACTGATACCCTGAATTGTGTTTTTATTTTCTTCAACAGGTTAGTCCTAAAAAAGAAGAAAAGACAGCATAGATGTGTTGAATTGACAGCTGATAAATACGTGTCTGTAGCAGACTGTAACAAAGCCAAGGGGTGGGTGTGCAAGAAGGCAGCAGAACCAGGTTTGAAGTCTGTTGATTTATATTAATTTTTGTGGAATTTCCTTTGAGCAGTGGGCCAGTATGTGAAAGGTTTAAGTATGAATTGAATAATGCCTATACCTTGTTCTGTCTTTGCATGGGGATGAATTCCCACTTTATCAAAATTAGCTTACCCTATGTGGTTGAAGAGGGCTCCCTGACGGCTGAGTGAGCCAGTGAGCCCCCAGCTGAGTGAGGAAGCAGATAGCTCTCCAGTCCCGATGCTGCTCAACTTCTGGCTCCTGTGGGAATCTGGAAGCCACACAGCACCAGGATGGGGATGAGGGGCAAAGAGCAACCTCCTCCAGGTGCTAATTGGCTCCTGGGGAGAGCTGGAAGCAGAGCAGCACCAGGATGGGGGACAGAGAACTCCCTCATTCCCTGTGGCCCTCAGCTGGTGTAGCTGACCAGGAGCAATTTTGCTATCAGTTAGCATCTACATGAGTGTTGCCGCACTCATCTAGATCATCAATCTAGTACCTGTATTTACTCAAGGTCTCCCTCAGCCACAGAGGCATTGACACCAACAGCTAGGAGGAGCAAGCTGCTGACCGTTCGGTATGGCACCACGTGGTCCACCAAGGTGTGCACCACTTCAAAGCCCAACGACTCAATATTGAGCCAGAACAGCAGGGGTGGAGGAAGGAGAAGGAGACCAACCGAGGGCTGTGAATCCCACTCCCCCATGCAACAACATGCCCCCATTGCCGAAGAACATGTGTATCCAGAATCAGGCTCCTCAGTCACCTGAGGACCCATCAAGCCTAATGGATGTCATCCTCGTCTGTGAGGGACTGCTGACAATGACAACGACCATGCAGTAGATTAGTAAAGCTTCTCATGTAGACGTGCCCAGTATAATTTGTATATGAACAGACATTGTCAATACAGGCTGCTCCCTGATACTGCTGGGCATCTGAAGTTTTATAGAAAACATAATGTTGTACATATTTTCCAGAAATGGCTCCTATTAGCTTTATTATTATTTATGTTTAAATGTTGGCTGTGAAGAAATGCAAAAAAGGTCTCATGTTTCACTGTCAGCAAATGGCTGGTATTTACAGACTGTGCTTAATGACTATTCATATAAGGAATTAAACATCTTAAGGTAGTTGAGTAATGACTCCTAGCCATTCCATTAAAATCTCAGATGGTAAAGGGTAGTGAATATGAACTGCAACACATGTACATTTTATCAATATACATTAATCTATAACTATCATCTCATCTGTTATATACTATGGCAATCTTCTAGTAAACCATCAGTGAGTGAAACTTTTTTCTTTCTTCAGATCTTGACGTGTTCATGGGCTTTTGGGATACGGTAACAGTCTTTCCAGCATTGAGACTGTCTAATAACTACACTAACCATACACTGGCCAGAGAACAATGTGTAAAGCAGGAACGTGGGTGCCTTGGCTATATGCTTTGGAGAGATGTTTATTTACTGATACCTAACTCTGAATTGGTTATTGGTGGATTTGCACCCAGTGTCACATACCTAAAATCAGGTAGTATACCTTATTTGGATATATCAGTAAATTTTCCCCCGTTAAATAAAATTTCTTCATATACCAGCTAGCAGCATGAGGCTTAAGTGAACACTGTGCATAGTTTTTAAAAATTCTGTTCTGGCTTAAATTCTAGTGACCCCTAGCTGAAAATCGCTAACATTTCATTTATTGTAAAGGGAAGGAACAATTTATTCAGCATGTTTTCTGTGAGAAAATGTCCCTTCTAACCATAACGGTTTTTTCCCGAGATTGGTATGTGTTTCATTTTTTTTGAAGCTTGTAATGTTGGATACTATGGACTGTCATGTGAACAGGAATGCTCACGTTGCTATTGGGACATGCCATGCAATAGCGTATCTGGAGAGTGTGTGGACAGTGTTGTTTGTGCTGCACCAGAAGATGTAGGGGCCTGTGATTTAGGTAAGCATTTATTTTAAAATCTTATCTGTTTGATAATTGGGATTAAAACTGAGCGTTCCTTCTTCCAAAGTTTTAAATAAAAAACCCATAATGTGGTAGTGGATCCAGATCTTCCATAATTTTTTTATTTTTATGGTATGCAATGTTTCCTTATAGCCAAATAAGCTTACATGGGAACATGAAGATAGTGCCTCTGGTTTTTTGCCATGGTATGTATATGAAGCAATCAGGGTATTTTGGTGTTCAGTTCAATATGTTTGTGTTACAAGGGCATAGTAGAATAGCAGTGTTATTTAAAACAACTCGTAGTATGTTATTTTTCTTATTTTTAAATTTGTGGGAAAGCTTCATTAGTATGCAGTAAGGCAGGATCTGCATTTGCCTTCACTAGTGTACATTTCCGGTAACTCCATAAACTTAGCCTCCACTGGTGTGGTTCAGTGGTAGAATCCTTGCCCTCCACGTGGGAGACCAGGGTTTGATTCCTGGACATGCATATAACTATAGCCACTGAGGCACCGAATGGCCAGACTTGGTCTGGGATTAGGATCCTGACTCAATGGTCTGAAGGGGGGATGGAAGGTCTGGGCAGCCTCGTCTCCTCCATACTGCTGCCTAGGTGTTTGTGTTAAAGGTCCTGGTGACCTGTCATGCATACACTATGATCCAGAAGGATTGATGATTGTCTACTAAACTATCGTGTAGTTACGCCAGATCTACACTAATATATAGCAGAATTAAGGTGACAAACCCTTCGTGTAAGCTGATTGGCTTTACTGACATACAATGTAGCTATAATAATAATAGGCTTATTCTGTCTGTCTGGAGCACTCTTGATAGGTTGTCTCAGCAGCTAATCACAATGCTTACTGAAACAAGCAATACAGACAGGATAACTATGTTATTCTTATAGATCCCGAGGTATTTTAAATAGATCTGCAGGCAAGTCAGAGCTAGAATGAAGTGCCCGGGTCCCCCACTGCAGAGCGGACAGGCTTCACTGAAGTGGGGGGGAAGCCTTGAGGCCCCGGGGGGCGCTGCCATGGTGGAGGGAAACACCAGGGTCCCCTGCAGCTCAGGGGGTGCGTGATCCTCCAGCTGCAGGAGACGCAGGCAGGCTCTGGGAGAGGGGGGAAAAAAAAAAAGATCGGGCCCCTCGCTGCTTCCCCCCACCCCTGCTCAGTGGAGCCTACCCATCAGGTCATGCAGTCCCTGAGCTGCGGGGGAGAGGGTGGGGCAGTACTTCCCTCTGTGGCGGCAGTGCCACCTAGGGCTGCCCAGGTGGGTTTCTAGCTGTGCAGGTGCAGCCCCAGGTTGCAGGCAGCACCCACTGGATCCAGTGGTGAATGGGGCACTGGAAGCCTGCGTGTGCCCAGGGAACCTTAGGCTTGGCAGGCTTCCAGCACCCTGTGTACCATCCCTGCCACCTGGGACTGCCTGGGAATGGGCTGGCTGCCCTGGGACGGCAGCAGGAGGGTGGCTAGGTGTGCTGGCAGCTGGGAAGGTGGCGGGGATGGTGCATGGAGCACTGGAAGCCCACCAAACCTGGGCTTCCCCGAGCACGCCTGAGCTTCCAGCGCCCCGTGTACTGTCCCCGCTGCCTACTCTGGATAGGGCCCTTGTACGCATGAGGAATATCGCTGTTATTTGTTACATAGCAAACCAAAATACATGGGATGTGTTTTAGTTTGCTACATAAAAACGTAATTCATCACTGAATGTGTACACTGTTACAAAATGTAATGGTAACATGCTGCCAAGTGTGTACACTGTTACGCAGTTACATCATTAAAAAGGGCAATTTCCTCACGTGTACAAGGGCCCTTAGTCATGTGTACAAGGGCCCATTCTCTGACTATGAGCAAATCACAATGCCAGACTTTTGACAAAATATGTATTTATATTCCTCAGCCTGTGTTTACACATGGACAGCTTTACATGTAGCCTTGTCAAGGGTGAGAATTTTTATTCTGTTTGAATTATTCAGTCAAAGGAAAACTAAAAATCCTGTATTTAAAGAAATACTTTTGCAATAAAAATTTAATCGCAAATGTTTTGTGAGTTTCAGCTTTTATATATTAAATTTCTTCCACGTTCTCCTGAAGAGAGAAATAGAGAGCTTTTCACTGTGGTGCCTGTAGAAGAATCATGTTTAATAAATGCATTTCAAACATCTCTTTTTAATACTTGGGGAAGAAAGCTTTTAAACCAATCTGGGCAAAATCAAAGGGATGCAGTCAAGACTGATAAAACTGACATATGTGTCTGGATTAATAGACCTGGGTCACTCCCTTGCTGTACCTTTTTCTGTGGAATTTTTTAGGTGCTAAAATTATATTTCAGGACCTTGCCATCTCATGTGCTTGCATCTTCTGGCCTGTGCCTGAGAACAGATAGTCATAGAGGAGTAGTGGTGTGGTGTGGAGATTTTAGGCCTGGTGTTTCTTGTGTTTCCCTGAGAAAGTATGGTGTTTTCTCACATATTATATAACTTTCCTCCCAAAATCAGCTCCCCCCCCCCAAAAAAAAAAATTTTGGGGG